CCCCAAAACCCCAAAACCCCAAAACCCCAAAACCCCATATAAACCTTCGGAAATTGAATGAATTATAGTTATTTTATAAAAAATGGAAAGAGCTCCGAATTCTCATAATTTATTTAAGAAGTTTTCAATGATATGCAACATTCTTCCCTATTTTGGCTATTTAGACCAGAATTATCAGATGATGTCTCAGTTGTGTAAGGAGTCGAGGGAGTGCTGGATGAGCAATGAGGCTGCTTTTTGATTGAAAGCATTGACTGATCGAAGGAGACAACTCGCATTTGCTTTTACTTACTCTGAAAAGATCAATGATCGCACAGCTAAGGATATTATTAAATTTATTCAAAAGTTCCCGATCCTATATAAAATTTTCAAACTCCCTAATTTGAAGTTTACTTCAGGAGATGAAGTTAATAATTTCCTGAAGTTTGCTGATAAGATAAACAACGAGTTTTTAAGATTTACCCATGTTAATTTTGATGACTGCAAACTAGAGCAGAAATTTTATGAGGACTACTCTGCACTACTCGATTCAAAAGGTCTTGAAGAGAAGAAACAGCAGATTCACACATATTATAGTAGTAAAGGGGTGATGATCAATCTGGCTAATCCTAATATGACAACCAAGTTAGATTTATCTATTCCTCAGGTATTAGCTATCGCTTTGATGAATCCTGAAACTAACGTATCCAGTGATGAACTGGACCAACTCGATCCTAAATTAAAGTCTCATGTGACTTCTTTGGGTATAAATTATCTTAAAAATGACAATGACTACATGGGCATCTGTTCAAGAGTTAAAGTGCTCGTCAACTGGTTTGACAACATTGAAAATTTGAAGTTTAGCTTCCTTGAAGCACCTCCTTCGTGTGTCAATAATATCTTGCTAAATTTTTCAGGACTTGTTAATACCATCGAAATAAAGGTGAACAAAAATCATCTCCCGAGGACGACTATCGAAGCAAAGAATTGCTATCTGCAGTGCTGTTACTACAGCCACCAAAAGATGGAGGCTGAGAATAAAGTCTTCTTTGCCAAGAAGGTGACTTTTGCTTCTCCCCCTGAGGGCTTAAACAATAACAAGGAAGAGAATTGGCAGAATATCAAGGACTTCTCCTTCCTTAGGATAGAAGGTATCAGGGAATTAGAGATAGAGGAATCTAATGTTCTTGAGACTCAATTCAGAGCTAGTCTTGATCACAACCATTTCTGTGTTACTAAAAGGGATATAGTCGGTGCATCGACTAATAAGTTCTTAGATTCTGATGTTCTTGAACAGTTCCCAAATGCGATGTTCACTTTTGATATATCTAAGAAGGCAAATGATAGCATGGCTATTGAGAGATCAGTTTTTGAGGAAGCAAAGAAGGTTGAAGAGTATGATGACTCGACTCTGTTTGGTATTCTCTCTCTTCGAACAGAATTTGGAGAAATAGAGCCTATTTTACAAACCTTCGCTTCAAAGAATTTGATATATTTGGAAATTGAGCTCCTTAAGAGTGAGAAATCGAGCGAAGTAACTGCTATCCAAGCACTTCATAAGATTATTCAGGACAATGATACACTTAGGGAAATTGAAGTCTCTCTACATAATGAAACAAGTGTAATTTCTATTCTGGACTCTTGTGAGAACAAGCCTAATATTGACTGAATCACTATCGCTTCCAGTCAAGATTTATCTAAGAGAGTCAAAAGTCATGTACAAGAATATAAGAAGAGGAACATTTTCAAAACAGTGAAGGTCTATATTTCAGAAGTGAAAGCTGAGAAATCAAGGTGTATTATCTTCTAGGTTAAATAGATTTCAATCAAACTTTGTTGTTTAGGGGTTTTGGGGTTTTGGGGTTTTGGGGTTTTGGGGTTTTGGGGTTTTGGGG